AGAAAAAAGAATTATTACAAATTATTTAATAATCAAGATTTATAATCCAAAGTGTTCCATCATATCTGGCAATAGTATATATGTCTTCTTCAGGAGAATAGATCCACAATACAGTTCTAGAAGTCAGTATTTTTGTTCATAGTTCAAACAGGCCAATTTTAAAATGATATTGTCTCTGCCACACAGATAAGCAGTCCCAAGCCTGTTCCATTTTCATAGCTGCAATCTCAAAAGTCAGAGCTTCAAGGCCAGCCAAAGTCTTATCTCACTCTGGGCGTTAAGCCAGGTTGCTTTTAGGCAAAAATAAATTGTAGTGCCGTACATTCACCACCAGATGTCAACAACGCCATTTTTCAGTTTTTAAAACCAAAACTTATAAGCTTTTCCAGCCTTTTTAAAAAAAAAGTCTTAGAAAACACAAGTTAGTCTTATAGATTTCTCCTTTTCCCCAGGTAATTAATTTGCCGCTTTCCTGAGGGAATGGGGTGGAAATTCCCTCTCCCTTCTCTTTCAGGGGAGTACTTTGGGCAGATTTTCAGGAAAAGGTCTTAAATTCATAAAGAGGGGCTTAGATCTCACCCATTTTCATCCATGTTGCTGTAAACTTGCTTAGTAGTACTTGGTGTCTTCCGTTGACAGCAGCTTCTGACTGGCTATGCAAATGTAGTCAGTCTTTCCCCCGCTGGTTTGGAGGGCTTCCTTGGATCAAACAGGAGAGCTGCCACCCCTGTGATCAAACAAGGGTCCCCTCCTTGTTTGCCACCTCTGTGGGGAAGCTTTTGACACTTTTCAGGGTCCCCCAGAGGGGCAAAATCAAACGCGGAAGACGGAGCTCATCTTCCAGTGTCTGCCTCGCCGCGACACCATAACCGGAAGCCAATTGTCTCTTTTATTGATTTTAACATAGAATTTCTGAAATTCATCAACATTTTCTTGTTGGTATATCAAGCTGGGGACTTTGGCGACAGGTGTTAGGGATGGTTTTTTACTATTTGAAGCTAAGTATGGAATATCCATTTTGTTTTTGTATGTAGTCTTTATAGTCCGATCAATTTAGAGATTTAAAGAGTTTCAATTGTCATTTGAACTCCAAATTATACAGCCAGCCTATCAGTTCATCCTTAAGTCTCCCCTCAGCAAATAAAAGTTTGAATTTTTCAAATTTTTCTGTCCAATGAAAAACACATCCTTTCTGTCCAGAGAGAAAAGAGCAATTAAAATTTGTTCATCTATCAAAGGTTTATAATCCAAAGTATTCCATCATCTCAATAATGCATGTTTCTTCTATAGGGAAATAGCTCCATTCTTATGGAAAAATAAAGCCTTAAAAAAATAAAGGGCTTTTACGAAATTCCATGGGTGAAAGAGAGATCTTTATTTTTGCGCAAAAAGGTTCAGAAGTGACTTAACAATCAGCAAATTTCTGAACAAGGGGGAGGGTCTAAACTAAAGCTTTATAAGTTTCTTTCTATCAGGAACAAAGGAAGCATAGATGGAATCTTACATTGTATATGGAATCTACTTTGTGTAACATTCAGATAGTTTCTCACACGTTAGCTCCATTTCTCATGGGAATACAATGAAGGCAGTTTTTACTTTTATACAATGTTTCTAAATATGCATTAGGTCATTCACGTACTGTTAATACAGCTTTTGGCTAACACAGCTTTCTTTCAGAGATTATGCAGACACATGATTTTTGCTTTTAGTGATTTTTCATTATTATTATTATTATTACTTTATTCTTCTTTATTCTATGTTATTCTATTTCTTTCCCACTTTACTCCCCCCTTTTGGAAGTTTTCCAGCTTAAACTTCCATTATTCTACCTCTGATTCCGGATCTCCTGAAGGTACCATTTTATATTCCCATAAGGCTAACATTGTTTCATGTTTTGCTGTTAATTGGGCTGTACTTTCTGAGATCCTCCGAATCATGGCTATAAGACAGGGGATCAAGCAAGGAATTAAAATACATCCTAGAATTAACAAAACTTGCAGGCCTACAAACCTTCATAGTTATAGCAGCCTTGTTAATTCCAAGATCCATAGCAGTGGTCTCATTGGTTCCAGACCACCATTTACCATTTTCCCATATCCCTGTGCATAGGAGGTCACCTACTGCTACACAAGATTCTGTCTTGTTTCTTGAGTAACATACATGTCCTACCAAGTTGGAAGTGAGACCCCAATCACCATCTTTCCCACTTGTATACGTTAAATTATTATTTTTAGACATTTCCAGTACCTTGGTATAATTTAACTCTTGTGCCTCCCACGGCCACCTTTCTCCCATGTTTGTTCCACCACACACAAAACAGTTAGACACGCCTAAAGTATGGGCAATGTCTTCTGCTAACTTAACAAAGGTATTTGTTACATGTCTAGGTACTTCAGGAATATGTAGGTTCTCCATTTCCTCATAATATGACCAAAATAATGATTTTTGTTCTGGTCTTTTGGTTGCAGTTATAATTTTGACTTCTATTTCTGACATTGGGTCATAGCCATTTGTATCTATTCCTATCCCAAACATCCATTTCTTACTTTCCCACCTATTTTGTTCTAGGAACCAACTACCATTCTTGACTGTGAGAGTCACCAAATTACAGTTATCCATTCCACAGGAATTTGCTTTTGTTTCATTCTTTTCAAACAAGATGTGGTCTATCTCTTTTGGTCTTGGGTATGCCACTTAATACATGACCACCACTTACATTTGACCGCACATCCATCTGGTGGGCATAAGTACTTATGTTTTGGGATAAAATTGTGAATATTACCGATCCCTCCGCAACCATATGTTGGAGTCCAATAATTAGCTGCTTTGCAAACATCAAAGGTGACGCTAAAACTGGAGTGTTATCTGGTCCAGGAACCAACACCTCTGGGGCAATATTTTCTTCTGTTTTTATTTCTAATTTGCTCCTGGTGTGGCTAGAAACTGAGGTTTCACTTTCAAAGTTATTCAAGCTTTTATCTGTTTCTTGAAGGGATCCAGCTGTTGCTAATTTTCCTTACTCACCAGCTTCTGGCTGAAATTGGGCTTCTCTTTCAGGCAGAGGGGGTGGAATTTGCTGATTTATTCTCCCTTCTTCTCTTCTAGGAACGTAGGGGGGTGGTCTGGCAATTTCCTCCCTATCTTCCTGGCTGAAAATCTTAGCTTTTGTTTGAGGCTTGGCTTTTTGGCTTGCCAAATATATCTTTGCACACTCTATCTGACATTTTGCTAACCATCTCGGTCTTTCTGCAATGTTGATTTTCCATAGGGGTACTGGTCCCAATAACCATTTCCAGTCACAATTTGATGAACCCGTGCAACGAGTTCAGGATTCGCCGATCCCATTTTTGGCCACCCTACGCCCAGGGCAGTCCACTCAGATTCACAGAATCTTTTTAACATGGCTGGATTTGGTTTTGGATCTCCATAATCCCTAGAAAAACCCTTTTTGAAATTCTTTAACATGCACTGGAGTGGCGTCTGGTCAACGCTCTCCTTTGACTTTTCCCCACCCATCTCTCTAATACACTACCATCGATCACTCAGCATGAGCTAAAATGGTTTAACCTCCCATACAATCCTGCCTATTGAAGGCTTAAGGATGCCACCTTTGCCTTCTCAGGGGGCGATCAGTCCCCTCTTCCGATCCAAAAGGGATCAGGTTTCCCCTGTTTTACAATACTTGCCTGCAGGCGTTTTCCAGACTCCTTTGTTGATTTAAGATCTGTCTGTCACCCTCACGGATCCTCAGACTGGAATGCTTCCTGATGGGTTAATTCCCTTTCCTCCCGTCGAAGTCTCCTCGTAGTCAAGAGCTACGGAGCCGGCTTTGGAGCTGTCGTCGTTTAGGAGAGGGGGGGCCCCACCAGGGCAATCCGTCTGGGAAGGTTAAATCCTTTTTCTTAAAAGCCCTTAAAAATGTCCCGGCGGAGAAGTCGCCATACCATAACACGACTCCCAAAGTCAGTATTTATATTTGTAGTCCAGGCAGGCCAGTTTCAAAATAGTTTATTGTCTCTGCCCCACAAATAAGCAGCAGCCCAAGAGGTTGTCCCCCCCCCTTTTCCCAGCTGCAGTTTTCAAAAGTGAAAGTTTCTGAAAACAACAAAAGTCTTATCTGAGTCTGGGCTTCCAGACAAGTTTTCTTTAGGCATAATAAATTGTAGTGCTGTAGTTTGCCACTAGATGTAGTTGACACCATCTTCCAGCTTTTTACATCCAAACATATATTACAAGCTTTTTAAGTGTCTCTTTTTTTAAAAAAAGCAACCTGGAATTAAGGAGAAACTTCCTGACAGTGAGGACAATCAACCAGTGGAACAGTTTACCCTCAGAAATCGTGGGCACCCCATCACCAGAGATTTTCAAGAGACTAAACATTCACCTGTCTTGAGACCGTATAGGTTCTCCTGCTTGAGCAGGGGGCTGGACAAGAAGACCTCCAAGGTCCCTTCCAGCTTCTATTTCTACTTCTACTTCTATTCTTTTTATTTATATTTCTATTATTTCTATTTTCTATTCCTATTCTATTCTAATCAAAATTTGGACATCTGGCAAATGACAGGTGCAATCTCCAGGGATCACGTGGTCACCTTTTGTGACCTGACAAGCAAAGTTAATGGAGAAGTCCAATTCAATTAACAATCATACTACTAATTTAGCAACTGCAATGATTCACTTAAGAACTGTGGCAAGAAAAGTCATAAAATGGGCCAAAACTCATTTAACTGCCTTGCTTAGCAACAGAAATTTTGGGCTCAATTGTCATAAAGTCAAAGACTACCTGTAACTGGTTCTCACAAACTCAACAAACCTGTTTGGGATTTCATTCACAGAATTTCAATCAAAACTGAGTCAAGCTAATGTAGCTTAAAAACCTGACAACTTATGCCAAGATTTAAGAGAGATTGCAATCTCATTTTTTTAAACAAACCAAGTAATGTATTATCTACTGCCCACTGTTGGGCAAGAAGAGCAGATAAAGACAAACACACACAGGCTCCATATATGCATATTTATTATCTAACTTAAAATCTACAGGCAGCTCAGTGACACTAGACAAATAGCAAAAGCCCTTAAAATGTTTATATTAAATCAGATTTTTTTTAAAAAAAGATTAAAGATGCAATTGTGAATAAAAATGTACTATCTACTAATATTGCTTTATGAAAAAGGTTTTAGTGAAGCAAAACATGGATTAGTGACCTCAAAATATACATGTAGATATAAAATTTCTATTCCTCATCTGAGTCCCCAAATAGTGCTTCTAGAACTTTCAAGTTTTAGTATATAATTTATTATTCAAACAACATTTAAATTAAATGAATTCTCAAGTTAATACCTTCCCCAAATGTCAGATACCATTTATTTAGCAATAGGTCACATTGAAGAGAATCCTCTGGCTAGCACATAAAGCAGTAAAATATTACAGTTTAATATATTAGAGTGTCATCAATGAATCATATGTTTTATTATTATTCCCAGTTAAGAATGATAATTGAACCAAGAGATAAAGCTAAACAGTCAACAGCATGATGAACTAGACATAGGTTTTTGGTGAAGATTTATCATATCTGTTTGAATCAAGTGATCTGATCTATCATCAGTAGCAAGGACTCTTCGAACCGCTTCCTCAAAAGCTGCTGCAACGTTAGTGGCATCTTTTGCACTCATTTCAAAGTAAGGATGATTGCCATTGTTTCTGCACCAGACCTGGGCTTCCTCTGTAGATACTTGCCTCTCAGTTATATCAATTTTATTACCCAGTATCACAAAAGGAAATGTTTCAGGCTCTTTCACATCTGCATAGTAAATGAATTCTTTTTTCCAGTTGCTCAGATTTTGGAAGCTTTGAGAATCATCTACACTGAAAGTGAGAAGACAACAATCAGAACCTCTGTAGAAGGGTGTCCTCAAGCTCCTGAACCGCTCCTGGCCTGCAGTGTCCCATATCTGCATTGTAACAAAGTGTCCATCTACTTCCAGATCTTTATTTAAGAATTCTACACCTATTGTATGGAATAACTGGGTATCAAATTTGTTAGTAACATATCTGTTCATAATTGAACTCTTTCCAACTCCTCCATCTCCTAAAAGAATTACTTTAAGGAGCGATGATTTTGTTGCCATTGTTTCAAGAATAGATCCTTTATGATCTCCAGATCTGCAAAATAAAACAAAATTCATATGTTGCAAACATTTCAATATAAACCAACATGAAATATTAACTATATGCTAGTGAATCAATATTTTTTGATGTTGGGAAAGATTGAAGGCAAAAGGAAAAGGGGATAGCAAAGAATAAGATGGTTAGTGTCATTGACACAATGAACATGAATGAAAACTCCAGGAGACAGTGGAGAACGGGAGTCTGGTGTGCTATGGTTTACAGGAGCCGCCGAGAGTCAGACATGATTTAGAAACTGAACAACCACAACTCTAATGGAGAGGACACTATAATGACGCAAAATAAGCTTGGGTGGCAACACTTGACCAACCTTGGCTGATCTTGAAAGAGCCAAGTCTTATTAGGACTAGGATGGGAATGAAAAACATTCCAGAAAACCATCGCCAGAAATCAAACTTGACTTGAAGTTTTTTAAAGATCCTTTTAATAGCATTTTCATTAATATGATTACATTATACTTTTGATTCCAAGTCACCCTCTTTAATTGTTAAATATTTAATTATTGCAATATGGCAATTTAGATATGAGCCGAGGTGGCGCAGCAGTTAGAGTGCAGTACTGCAGGCCACTTTAGCTGACTGTGTTCAGCAGATCAGCGGTTCAAATCTCACCGGCTCAAGGTTGACTCAGCCTTCCATCCTTCCGGGGTAGGTAAAATGAGGACCCAGATTGTTGGGGGCAATGTAAATATATATATATACATTGCTTACTGGTGTACACCGCTTAGAGAGTGCTTGCACTTAAAGCGGCATATAAGTCTCATAAATAAATAAATACATTCCCCACAGTCTAATTTTGAAGACATGCGAGCTGTAAGCGTCTCTCCTGTCAATGCTGCAGACTGGACAAAATGGGGGGGTGGGATGCAAAATTCCAACTTCCCTGTCATATGACGAGAACAATGCAAAGAACAACAAGAGTCTAATTAAGAGAGAATTTGGGGGAACTGTGTAAGTAGCATGTAAAAACAAAAGGAAAAAATACATTTCTTACAAACTTTTCAAAGTGACTAAGTAGTGCTAAATATAAAGGTATGAACCAAAACAAAGCACTTTATTCCCCACCTCCTTCTTTGATAGTATACTCCTATACAGTCTGACTATCATGTTTAAAAACATTTTCAGTAAAACCCAGATAGTAAGAATTATCCTCAATTTCAGGTCTTATATTAATAAGAATCGCCTAGGTCAGGGGGTCCCCAAACTGTAGCAGTAGCCTATTCACAACCGGGCTGTAAGCACATGTGCAGGCAGATGCCAGCACTCGCAGCCCCACTCATGCAAGCACCAGCACTCACAGCCCCACTCACCATGAATGGTGGGTGGCAGCAGTTGTAACCCAGGTATCAGCACCGGCATTCATAGCCTCACACGAGCAGTGGGTGCCAGCACTCACAGCCCCACTTATGCCTGCTGCTCACATAAATGAAGCTGTGTACACGTGCACAGCTGCCCCTCACACAAAACCACCCCCCCTCTGTGCTGGAAAGGTTAAAGAACACTGGCCTAGGTAATCAGGGTAAACACTTTAATTTGCCAAATAGTAAGACACATTAAATATAAATATATTTGTTATAGTTATCCATTTATTTATAAGGCCACCCAACTGAAACTGTGACTCTAGGTGCTGTGAACCTTAAAAAGTATAAAAAATACAAATATAAATACAAATTATAAAATATAAATATTCTACAACTTATAAAACATAAAGCCCTATTTGATAACTCCTTCTTTATTAAGTACTCAGAAAATTTATTTTATGTATAGTCAACCTTTTTCAAACCAGTATGATTCAATTTCCTTAAATGTGACAAAATGTTATTAATGTATAGTGCTTGTAAAATTCATTGTGCTTACATTGCCTTAATGATATCCGTTTATTGCATTTAAAAGAGAAATTGCTTATCAATCTGCAGAATTATGGTCAGCAATCATTATATAGCACTACAGGCAATCCTTGCTTATCAAGTGCTTATTCAGCAACTGTTTGAACTGAAGCCTGAAAAAGGAGATTTACAATACTCCTCAAACATACAGCCATTGCAGCATCCCATGGTCATGTGATCACAATTTAGGCATTTGACTACTGGTATGCATTTATGATAATCCAGAGTCACATAATCAACATTTGCAACCTTCACAGCTGGCTTCCAACAAGCAAAGTCAACATGGAAGTCAATAGTAAGTCAGAAGCCATGGTCATGTGACCTTGCACTTAATGACCACAGCCATAACTAATGCCCTAAGTCAGGTTTCACTTTACAACCACATTGCTCAGCAATTGTTACAATTTACAATTAGTAAGTGAGACTATTTATTTCCTCTGCAGTTTGTCATACATAATATTGTGTTTATTCAGAAAATAACAGCCTCTACATTGTTTTTATTTTAAATGAAATGCTCACTCTGTTGCTGATTAAGGAATTAGAGAAAACAAAGTATTACTGTAAAAATGCAGTGATGCTATTTCAAATGAAACCCTGAACAGAGTAAATTTATGTTACTGTTCAATGAACATATTTTCCTTTAAAATAGTTTCTCTGTATCTAGATGCAGAAAACATGACAAATATTTTTTTAAAATAATACAGTACTATACAACCAAGAAATGACACTTGAATATATGAACAAAGAACTCAATGCTTCTTGTGTTCAATAAGTTAAACAAACTTTGGTACATTACTCACCTATCTATGTAACTGCTTTCTGGTAAGATCCATTTCATGCTTAAATAGTAACAATCTTCCTTAGGCATCAATTATTTGGCTGATTTTGTTTCTTTCAACTTTGCATTTTTATTGACAAAGCAATAAAATATTTTCTGATTAATGAACTATTCCAAAGAATAAAGGTTTTTTTTTAAAAAATCTGTTGATAGATACTTCCTTATATTCTATTTGCTTTTGAATTGGTATATTAGTATCAGTTACTCTCAGTTTTCCCTTGAATACTGCTCTCAATAGTAAGAAATCATGCTCTATAATCATGGGAAATTTGGATATCTTCTACTTTATTTTTGTACAATGGCAACTTTTTGCAAGCAATGCTGTCTACCTCCCACCCAGAGGCCTTTTCTTATTAGAAAATACATCAACATTAAAATAAAAAAATTAAAATGACCTTACTTTATCCCAGTGGTTCTCAACCTGTGGGTCGGGACCCCATTTGGGGTCGAACAACCATTTCACTGGGGTTGCCAAACAACGCAGTCTGCCATTTTTTTCCCCCTTTTCCTTAGCTGTGCTACTTCCTTTTATTCTATTGGCTTTTGAAAGCCAATAGAATAGACTCTCTTGAACAGAGTCTAATTCTATTGGCTTTCAAAAGCCAATAGGAATTGTCCAGGCTGTCTCTGCCCTGCTGAGCCCGCCAAAAGTCCCATCTGCAAATGGTGCTGCACCAGTTGAGTAGTCCTCGACTACGACCAGTTGAGTAGTCCTCGACTTACGACCGGTTGGGGGTCGTGGCATTAAAAAGGTTGAGAACCACTGCTTTATCCAATAGTAACAGTGCCAATATTATACTATGATCCTCTTTTTGAGATGAAATTGTCATTTGTAGTATAGTAGGAAAAAATATTCATAAGGTTAGAGTATATAAACTGTGGTGATGCTGCACTTTAAATAGTGCTAGTTTATAATTAACTATGAATGGAAAACAATGTTTTTCTATTTTCAATATACAAAAATGGATCAAAAGGTATACACTAGACCAGCGATGGCGAAACTTTTAGTGACCGAGTGCCCAAACTGCAACCCAAAACCCACTTATGCATCGTCGGGTGCCGGGTGGGTGTGGCCCATTGGGTGGGTGTGGCCCATTGGGTGGGTGTGGCCCATTGGGTGGGCATGACTGCAGTGGTAACAGCAAACTGGTTGGGACTAAAAAGTTCAATCAATTCCAACTTTTTTTCCCACGAGAAGTTGAAATTGACTGATTGATTGAACCTTTTTTTTTGTACACGGTGGTGGAGGCTTAAAGCGAAAAGATTTTATAAAACCCAGCTGAAGGCCTAGGACTGGGGCGACGTCAACCACGCCCAAAGAGAGGGCTCTGAGTGCCGCCTCTGGCACCCATGCCATAGGTTCGCCACCACTGCACTAGATATACAATAAACTCCAAAATATTCTGTGGTAAATTAAATTGATTGGACATGACTTGGACATGACCTCTCTATAGAAGGCCTCATAGCTTACAATGCATACTGTAGCAGAACAAAAGCCATGAGGTCAAAGGAACTGTGTACAGAGCTCAGACACAGAATTTGTTAGGTCCATCACTGTCAGCTTGGCACCTCGCTGGTGTCCTGCTATCAAAGGACAAATGGGCAATAAACCTGTATGCATCTATTGTGGGAATTAGGGAGGGGGGAATGACAGCTGAGGAAGAGCGGATCAACATGGAACCAGTTCATGCCAGACATCTTCAAGGCCTTTTAAACTGAGTGGGAAAATTTACCAGCCCAAACACCTCAGCATTTCCAAAACATCTCAGCAGTATCACATTGGCTGGGTTTGGATTGGTCATGGGGGGAGGGATGGGGAATGAAGGAAAGTTTTGTATTGTTGCGTGGGAAACTCAGATTCTGCCTGACTTTATTGCAACCAGCATGTTTTAGTAAAACTACCTTTCACTTCAATCAAATGGAGTCAAGGGCTTTTCTTTCCTAAGGTATCAGACTGGTATGACAGGATTATTGCAAGGCACAGATCTGGGGAAGGCTACAATCCAGTTTCTGCTGCACTGAAGGCTCCTAAGAGCACAGTGGGCTCCATAATTCTCAAATGGTAGATGTTTGACACAGTCAGGACTCTTCGAAGAGTTGGTCGTCGATCAAACTGAGCAATTGGGGGAGAAGGGCCTTAGTAACAGAGTTGACCAAGGACCCGATGGTCACTCTGACTGAGCTCCAAAGATCCTGTGTGGAGATGTGACAGAGTTCCAAAAGAACAAATATCACTGTAGCCCTCCAACGATT